TCCAAATGCAGCTATCTGTACTTGTTCAATTGCTAAATATTTGTATGTACTTTACTAATATAATAAGTGTTTTTTTTTTATCACGAATAAGTGTTTTTGTTTTGTTTGGATGGATGAATGGATGATAATGAAATGGTAACCCCGCTTGCGCTATCAGTATACACTGGTGGGGCACCAGTAAGAGTTGATAGGTGAGGATGACGCAGATCAGTTAGCCCACAGTGACGAATCTAACAATAAATCAATCATGATGGTTTTCAGGGGGAACCACGAGGAAGTCGACCTGATGATGGAGCTACTAATCCCCATTACTAACAATTCCTTCTCCCTCCTGGAATAAGTATTAGTATATAACAAAATGTGTCATTGTATGTAACTTGAAATAATAATATTTCTACTAATATATTAAAATTGTATCACTGTAGATAGGGGGGAAAGGGATTGTTAGCAATGGAGTTTAACAGCCCCATTGCTAGCAATATGCTCGATTAGGTCGACCTCCACGTGGTTCCCCCTGGAAACCATCGTATACAATTCTTGATGAATTCGTCACGATGGGCTAATTGACCTGCTTCATCCTCACCTATCATCCTTCACTGGTGCCCCGCCGGTGTATACCGATAGCGCGGGTGGGGTTACCATTCCATTATTTACCATTAAAAAAAATCTATGTAGGTAATTAGTAGATATTTAAGCAAAATTGATGTGAGGGGTCTTAAACCTAACTTAACAGGAGTTTAAACAATAATTCCTAATATTTTTGTTTATATGTCCGTATGTTTGTTTTGGTACGCAAAAACTATTGCACTAAATTGGCTGCTATTTACATATTCATATTTCAGATGGTCTAACTTAAATCCTGTTGTACTCGTATATTTTCTCTTTATACGCCATCTGGAAGTGGTAACCTACTTCCAAATATCACGCGTACAAAATAACGGGCAAAAGTTAGTAAATAACAATAATGTATGTATGAAGCTACTCAGTAACTCATTTTTATAACCGCAACAGTCACATAGCGTGTTTTATACGTGTTATATACTCGTGTTACATAGGTACGTATATGTACAGACTTGTGAGGGCTGTTTGTGTAGAGCATAAATTCGTGACATGTGGCGTGGCGTTACATAATGTATGAGCGTTTCTTCGTTGTATATATTGCGTTTATTTAGTATGTTTCCTAGACTAGACTAGAATATTTTTAATGAATACCTATAACGAATTGTCGTGTGGTCCTGGCATAGAATGAACAACCCCATACTTTTCCGTGGGTATCATACGAGGTGACTAAGGGAACGTAATGGTCAAAAGATGGGCAACAGCGTCCCTCTTAAAACATCATAAAAAGCCTAACTGCGGCTGCCAACCCGCATGCCAAGCATGGTAAAACGGGCCCTTATGGAGGAGGTCTATTCAGCAGTGAATATTTAACGGATGATATGATGGCCTAATATGAATGACTTCATAAATAATATATTGAATGTATTGTAACCTAGTAGTTTACTTGCCGACTATTTAAAATGGCTTTTTTGGTCGTTGTTTCGAATATGGTAAAATTTCGAGTTTGGCGATTTTTGTAAAAGTCTACAGAATCTCTACCATAGATAGATTATGTGTTCAATCATAAATTAAACATTTTTACAAAAAGATTAAATAAAAATCAAGATACCCTCAATTTGCATCTATTTTTGAATGTATATTTTGACAATCAATAGATATAGGAATAGTAAATAAGCTAGTCATCGTCGTAGTGATAGCGTAGTCGCGGAGTCATGACCAAAAAGCAACATGAGTATCACCTATTGACTAGGGTTTTTAATATACTATTTTTATTTTGAGATTAATAAAACACACCGATAAATGACGACATGTTCCGTAAATGAATTAGAGGCAAAATATTTGAAATTTAAACCTGGAATTATGTGACTATAAGCATCTAATTACATTTTGCGTCGTAGCAAACAAGACAAAAATAACACGCTCAGAATGCTGGGACCAACACAGGAGTAAAGGATCTTTTTATTGATTACAAAAATACAAAATCTAAAGAACCGTCTCTATTTGGAAGTTGCTTAAAAATTATTTGAATATACCTACTGATCTGTATTTATATATGTAGATATAACGAGAATTACATGAAGTATAAGTAAGTGTAAGTAAGTATTTGTCGTTTTCCATAATTGTTTTGACTTTATCCAGAAGTCTTTTTCAGAGGAAGTAAGGCACTTCACTGCGTTGCAGGTTTTCGTCACCCTGCTCCGTTCGAACTGAAGATCGCAGTCGAAACAGTTTTAGAAAACGACAAAGATATTAATTTCATAAAATATAGATATGTATAGACACCGTTAAAATAATGAACATATGTTTTTGTATTAATGAATTCAAATTGAATACTTAATTTTTAGTATATATTTATTATCAACTAGGCATTATTTACTAATAATTAGGCATTTAAGTTGAGTTCGAGCAAAGGTTGTTAAATGCAAAAAAAAATCACATTTAGTATGCTAACCAAACTCATTTAGTAGTACTCCATAAGATAGTCTCACACATTCTCAGTACATGATATTATATGGCACAGCACATAGAAGTTAGAATGGGCGTGTCTGCGCTTCAGGCTGAAGCGACCGCCCAGCGACGGGAGGGCGGGCCGTAGCCTTGATGTATCACTAGATAGTTGAATATTGAAACTTTAGGAATTTCAATACCTAACGGTTAACTAAGTTAGTATACGTATATAATTTTAATTCGGACAGGTAACAAGGTTCGTAATAATCGTTTGAAATTATTAATTATTAGATATAAATAATTGTAAGTTACCAATCTATTAAGATTCTATTTATTTCACGATCTAAATTTATATTTATGTGTCGTATACGTAGGTATGTATTTTACCATTTAGTTCTAAAGAGTTTGCATTTCATAAGAGTGTCAAATTGAGAAATAAACAATTTAAACTATGTCCGAACGACAGTTTTAAATGCGGCTCTGTAAGCATTAAGTAGGTACATTTACTTACCTTATTAATATAAGTAATATTTATCGAATATAACAGGTAAATTTATTAACAAAAATTGTTTACTTTTTCAATATTTCTTTTTTAAGTTATCAAATATGTACCTACTTATTTACTTTATTTACTACCAAAACAAAAGATTTAGTGATAATAATTAAAAACAAAAATACCGATTTTCAGTTTCTGTATGACTAACATTTATAGATATACAATGATTTATTTAAGTATGATTAAATGTTAAAAGTTATAAATAGTTAATACATATTACAGAAGCTTTTAATATTCGATAATTAATTGCAAATTATTATTGCCATAATTGTTGCGTAATTAAAATTTTTACAATATAGAGAAGGGAGCGATAAAGAGTTTACATTAATTTGTTCATTCATATTAAAGTTTTAATTGACACGACGTACAAGGCAAGAGTTCAAATTACGCCTGTTTATTTTATAATTCAACAATATTTATGCCTTAAGTTATTTAGCAATATTTAAAATAATTTATTTAGTAATTGACGCAGGTAAAATAGAATTAAAAAACGCTGTCGATATAATGGAAGTGCTTTCTGAAATACCAAATTTTCAGACAGGACATTAAAATGTTTTATTGTAAAAGGTTTTTAAAATACATGTCTATCTATGTTATAATAGATATATGTATAGTTAAGTATAGAGTTGAAGGATGCATACCCATGTTACTTTTATACGATTCATAATGGAAAGGTAGGTATATTTAATTTGCCAGCATAAACCGACAGCGTAAGCAGTCCTCCTTTCGACCAGATTATGCTGGTGGAGAACTGGGAATGATAGGTCAGGGAGAAGTTATATCAGTTGATACATCGTGATGAATTTATCAGGAATTAACTACAATGGTTTTCAGTGAAGATGGCGTGGAGTTGACCTTGGTACCTATAGGTACACGGCAAAATTATTGTCATTTTTAACGGTGAAATTATTATCATTTTTACTAAAATAATACGGGTAGACAAGCGATGTGTTTTCGTTAGTACCTACGAGAAACTTAAATATTTTTTGGTTTTTTCGAGAAATCTAACTTTGGGAAAAGTTAATAAATATATATACACCTAAAAGGAAGCTAATGATTTTCTTTTAACTCTTTATAAGCTAAGTTATACACTTAATGCTTTACTTAAATGGGTACTGTACCTATATTGTAGAAGTTTGCAGCATCGAGACCAATCAGAAGTATTGTATGACTATGGTCTGCTTCTGGTTTAATGAGGTAGGAAGATGTTTAAAATAGGAATATATGCTAATATGTCGCCAGTTTTTAAGGTATTTGGTCACCTCGCTTTCAAAATATCGGCTTATAGGTAAAAACCTACACCTACTTAATAAATAAATGCTTTACAGTTGGGTACTGTAGTGGGTACTGCACATTGGGTGGGCGGTTGGTATTTCATAATCGGATACAAAATTAGGTAATTGCCTAGGTAATTATCAACTAATGATAAATGTACATTTGTGATTACGAATGCGAGCTATTTGTTTATGACAATTATGGAATAATTTGAGTATTAGTAACGAAGTTATAAAAGTAGGTCTTGATTTAATATTAAGTACCTATATGTTATAGTGATTCAAACTAATGACGCATGTGAAAAATAAATTGTAAAAAATAAATGAAATTAATAAAAACTAAAATCGACCTTTACTTCAATTTTGGTGATTACATGAAGTATCTATCGATAGGGTAATTGACATGTAGTTTAGGTACTTATGTTATATAAAACTCCAGCTATGATATTTTAAATTAACGAAATACATATTTGAATATTTTTATTTAGAACTAATTACAGATATAGGTCATATGCTTGTTAAAAAAATAACTATTCTAAATCAGTTGCGAATATATATCTACGTTATGAGACTGATATCTATTACAAAAGATCTTAAAATAAATTGATTAATTAGCTATCTAAGTGGGTAGGTAGGTTGATAACTTGATTGAAATAACTTACTTAAATAAACACAGTCGCAGTTTTCACGGGACAGTCAGTAACACAAATTTTAGTCATTATATATAAAGCATCACAACACTTCACTATAACACTTGAACTAAACAAGTCTATAAAATAAAAGAATAGTTTCACACAGTTCGGTTTAGTTCATTTAAACATTGTACACTAAGCACTATTCGGAAGAGCCAGCAAAAAATCATCAATAGAAAATTTTTTATCAGTGCTACTATCGGAATGTCAGTGTGGCGTGGCGACTGTCAACTGTCTACTAAACGAATCGTCACTGCTCGGTTACCGCCATGCCCACTTCCATACAACACATTGAAACGAAAGGACGTAACTCGCAAATAAAGAGAAACTGAGTCCACCTCCGCACGTGTACATTTAATCACGATGTTTCATAAAATAACGCCCGCCTCTTAGAACCTTTTGTCTGAACTAAGAGTCTACTCAATACATTATCTATGCTCTTCTCGCTGCCGCAAATATCAATGTTTCATCTCTTTCGCTTGACGTTTGTAAGATGAATATTTAAATTAGCGAATTGTTTTTATACAATAATTTATTTTTTTAGTTTATGAAATATATTAGTTGATACGTCTCCTAAAATTTTGTATATTTTAATAAATAAAATAATAAAATTTATTTCCTTGATGTATCACCGGTCACACTATATCGCCATCTCATTCACTCGAATATTTCTTGTTTGTTTCACGTTGCACGATTGGGCCAATAGCATTTACGGAGCAACCCACCTTACGGCATATAAACTACAGTAGAATACTGTGCTCTATCACTTGTGAATAAAGTTTAACTTTTTAACATTTAATTTGAAGTTACCGGCGTTTGTCACGCAAGAGTTCTAATTTTAAATCAAGTGTAGGCGGAGCTCTCATGTTGGAGCTTTTATATTGAAAAACGAAATGTCTTTAAAGAAAACCTGTTTTGAGAAACTTAAGCCTTTTAAGTACAACGGTTTTAAGTTTAGCTTCGGAAACGACATAGTACCTTTTGAGACTGGCAGAAAACATTGGAATAAAGTAAAAAAGTTTAGTAACCGGCTTGTCGGTATTTTCCTTTTGTTGCTTGATTTTTGTTTTGTAAACGGGACATTGCATGAGAAATGCAATGCAACAATATGGCGGCGTTTTCTTCTGTGTATGCAATTTTGAAGGTTTATTGAGATTCGAACTATACAGATATACCTATCTTGTACTCCTATATATACTATAGAAAAAATTAAGTTATTTTCGAGTTATTCCTTTCACACTAAGGTAACGAACGTATACCTTAAGGCGTAGTAGGGAGACTCGGGTCCGCGTGGGCATCTTCGGCCTGGTATAGAGCGTTTCCGAGTCGGGTGAACTCATTAGGGCTGTCGGTCAAGGCCTCGAGGTCGCTGCGGTAGGTGGTCGCCTTAATTACACCCTACGTCGATTTAGGACTTCTTTCTCTTGTGTTCTATAAACGGCTGGTTGCATCTTGCGTAGTGGTTATGTAGTTGGCGTTGAATAAGTTCATATACCTATATTAATTCTGATATATCTCTAGTAATTCAAAAATATCTAAGAATTTTTAGTTATATTTATCTGACGCATGAAGTGTGAAAAATGCCACATTAAAATGCTAACTTATTTAAATTTAGGTACCGAAACAAAAAATATAATCAAATTGGGAAAAATTTAGATACATTTTAGAGTTGGTTAAAACAAGTTTGATTTGTTTAATTATACTGAGATAATTAAGTATTAAGTTTTTTTTTTTATTTAGGAGTTTCTTCTTGTCTGTGCAACTAAGTTATGCTTTTTCCTCCAGCCAGCCCTTGCCATATCTTTGACCTCTCTGTTTGACACTTAAAGTCTCTTATCTGTCCCATGTAGTTATTTCTCAGTTTTCCCCTTCCTCTTTTGCCCACTATTTTTCTTCTACTCTTCTATTTAAAAAATCGTCATGTCGTATATCTAAGGTGGCCCATGAATTATTTAGGTGCATGTTGCATGTGATTTTACGAGTAGATATGTCTAAATTTAGATCCAGGATCATGTTTAAAATCTATCTGGGTAATTGAATATCAATCTATCTACTACTACACTCGTCAAAGTACACTTTTATTACTTTCACAAGGATAACAATTTTAATTTAAAGTACTTAATAGTCACACACAGTCACAGTCTAAACAGTTTCCTTGTGAGTAGTGAATAAAGATTATTATTATTATTATTATTTTATTACATTTATTTACATATGTTATACTTTTAGATACCTGGATAAAGTATATGTAACTCGTTGTCACTAGAATCTATGAGTAGCGTTGATATATAATTATGTCCAACAGATATATTATTTATGATCGTTTGTCTCCCATTTCAGAAAAAAAAAAATGAATAAAAATCTAATGCCCAGTAGTATCTATTCATCCTGGCTTTGTGTATCGCTGAATATTCACGATGAGACTTAAGCGGATAATTAAATGACTTTAAAACTTATTTAAGTATTCCACCGCAGCGGTCTGTGCCCATCAGCTATTCAAAACCGGTTTTACTCATTAAGTGAACAAATAGATGTCTAAACTCCGTTTAAATTATATACATATTTACAATACAATTTTATATAAATTACAATATATATACAATTTACATTTATCTATATACTGGGCTAATCTTTTAAACTATAAGATTTTTGTTCCAAAAAGACGAGTACTTATATGGTGGTTGTTTTTTTGAGAAAATTAGTATGGGACTTAGAGGAGAATATCTATAAATAATCATTTAAGCACACAAATAAAGATAAAAGGTAAACATATTAATAGAGAAGTAATGCACTAGGTCGTGTTATTTCTAAAAAGAGATTTTCTTCCTTTTTGCAGATGCAAATTTACGTGAATAAGAAAAAAAAAACTACATTTAAATTGAGTAAGTAGTCGGTTGAAAACAACATAACAGTTTACGCAAGTAAAAACAAAAATATGGCACGCTTTGTTTTCATGTAGATTGAGGTAGGTACTTACCTAATTGTGGTATATGTTTTTTTTTATAGCGTAAGCGTAATTGAGTGTGCGGCTTACTTGATGACAAGAGACTACGCGCAGACCGTTAGCAACATTAGAGGAATTGCAAGGGTTTCCCAAGACATAGAGACCTAGACGCACTTTTTTGAAAATGTATACCTTTAAATTTATGTTTTGTTATTAATTATTATTATGATTAATTTTTTTATGAAAATTATATAATATTTAAATAAACTCTCTTCCGAGTGTGATGGTTGGGTCCCACATTGCTGTAGTCAATCATAGGCAGGAAACATGATAATCCGGTATATCATTTTGCTACAAGTTTAAAGCCTAAGATATACTACTTGTAGCCTAATATTCTAATAAATAATATGAATAGTAATAAAACTAGGGTTATTTATTACTATTTATCCTAATGATACAACACAGCTCGTCCAGTAGTCAAGTTCTATGAGAACTTTTTGTTGATTTTCGACTTATATTTCTTTGGGAAAAAAATTTGTTTCACTAGTAGAACACATACTTAAAAGGGTGCTGACGATTTGAATTTCAATCAGTATAATGTATGGAACTTTATAGAGTCAGAATGGAGCATCAGGGTTACGGGGCACTGAGCGTGTTTGAACTAAAATATTCATATTGCCAACATACCATTTATTTCTATTGAAGCAAGCAATTACAGCGCTGAAGTGGATCAAAATAAAAAGCGTTAATATCATAGAGCATTTACAGTAATTGTATGAAACATAGTATTTGAGTGTCTATAATCACAGCGCGTAGGTACCGTGATTAATGTTGGTACGCCGATGCGAACTCATAATTAACGGTTATCACCCGTTAATACGCTGTAATTATTACTACATGACGTGTCTACAACCAATGTATGAGGACAGAAAAGTTTGCTTGTATTTCATTTATCAACCGACGAAAAAGGAGGCTCTCAATTCGATTGTAATTTCTTTATTGTTTTTTTTTTCTATAAGCATGTTACGCGGTATATTTTCATACTTTTACTACATAATTCAATTTTGACGAATCGTTTTTATATTACGTAGAAATAGTTTATTCTTATATCGATACTTATTTAATTAAGGCAGAAGTCAGTTTTTATGTATAGGTATAGTATTTTTTTACATAGTCTAGTCACAGTGACTATTATGTTTTTATGTATTAATTAGAATATAGCAATAGCATTTAATAAGATTAAATAAATAAGAATTTTATTGTAGTTGAATATATTCAGCGTTTCCCTGCAACCTATTTGAACTAGTTGGTTGTACCACTTGCAGGTGGGTTAGCCTACCCTGTGCTTATGTTCATCCGTGTTATTTCCAGTATCGTTCTTCCATATAAATTTTTCAAGCTTAATAAGTATAGAATCATGATTTTATTTGTACTCGTGATGGCGGTGTAAAAATATACCAAAGAGGGACTTCGCATAAAAGTCATGCAAATGCATGGGTACTTCTGTCCCACTCATGTTCCGACCGTGAAACAGTTGTCACTTTCCATCAAATGGACCGTCAGCTTGTTTTTCATTTGTATTATGTTATTAGAGGACAATTAAAGGTGAAGAATACACCGTCTTAAGAGAAGGAAACTTGGAAATAAAACTCTGTAGTTACTAAACCGTTTGGTCAGTAATAGTAGTCAAATATCTCCCTTTTATGTAGACTTGCGCTTATCAGTGGGCTATTAATGGGTTGCCAAAGAAATGCTAAAAAAATGTGTAAATTGTAAAAAACTACGCTTCCTCGATTCGCTTACAAAACAACTAAAAGCTTTGATACTGCATGGGCCAAGTGATAAGGTATAATTTGGCGTCGTATTACGCGACATGTGCAGCAGTGAGAGGGTTAAGGCTCATTAGCGCTGTGCTGGACGTTGATCGCTTGGCAGCCGTCTGTCAACTGATAAACACATGTGAAAGACCACAACGTGTTGAAAATATATTTCTGTGTTGGTATTATTGAATTTTGATATCAAATACCAGGAATGATGACCTTGGAAGTGTAGCTGTTTAATATGTTACTTTATCTTCCGATGATCGTGAGTTCGATTCCCGCACAATACAAACATTGTAATTATAGGAATGTCTGTATGTTTTCTATAGATACATATGTTTTAAGTACGAGTACGTTATTATTATTATATCTACTGTTAACTGTCAACTGCTGAACACAGTCGAGAACATTCTCATTTTTAAAATCGGTTGGAAACTGCTTGCTTGTTTCACCAGCAGGTTA